AATAATGCCTTAGTTTTCTTGCAGTGGTGACCAGGGATAGAGCCAGTTTCTCTAGGGGCAGGTATCTTGTCTCTGCGTCTAGGAGCGCCTTGCTTATGTAATAAATCGACTTCTGACGGTGCTCGTGCTCACGAATAAGTACCCCGCTTATCGCAAATTCGGATACGGATAAGTACGAGACGAGCATTTCCCCCTGGATAGGGACGGATAAGGTCGGGAGAGTCCTGAGGTATTCCTTGATTCCATCCAGGGCGTCTTCGCACGCCTGGCTCCATATATCCTTCCCAGCACTCTTGATGGCTCCGAAAAAGGGTTTGCATTTGTTTGAGAAGCGTGAGACAAAACGATTAAGTGCTGCCAGTATCCCCGTGAACTTTTAGACTTCTCGGACAGTTCGGGGGCTCCGAATGTCCAGGATCGCTTGAATCTTATCCGGGTTAGCTTTGATTCCTCGTTGACTGACCAGATATCTGAGAAATTTACCCGATTTCACTTCGAAAACGCACTTTGCTGCGTTCATCTTCAGCCCGTACTCCCTGAGGGTGGAGAAGGTATCTGCCAAATTTTCCAGATGATCACAACTTTGTTTGCTGTTTACCAGCATAACGTCAATGTAGACCTCCATGGTGTTGCCGATCTATTTTTTGAACATCCGATTCATCAGTCTTTGGTATGTTGCCGCCGCGTTCTTTAGTCCAAACGACATCACTTTGTAACAGTAAACTCTCTTTGAAATGATAAACGCCATTTTTTCCTGATCTGGGGGATGGAGAGGGATCTGGTGATATTCTGCTCGGGCATCCAGGAAGTCCATGCGTTCATATCCGGCACTAGCTGGTCCACCTTTGGTAGGGGGTAGTCGTCATTGGGACATGCCTTGTTTAGATCTGTGAAGTCTACACAGACACGCCATTTTCCCCCCTTCTTCTTCGCGCAAACCGTGTTAGACAGCCATTCTGGGAACTGTATCTTTCGAATGGTGTTGGCTTTCAGGAGTTTGTTGATTTCTTCGTTGACCGTGCAGGCGTGATGCGGGGCCATGCGTCGTGGCTTCTGTTTTACTGGCTTGTGCGTCGGGTCAACATGCAGCTTATGCGTGATTATCTCGGGGTCTACCCCCGACATTTCCATTGCGTTCCAAGCGAACATGTCTGCATTTCCCCTCAGGAACTCAATCATCTCCTCCTGTTCGGCTGCAGGCATCGCGGTTCCAACTAAGAAGTATCTTTCTTCTTCTCCCTCTACTAAGGGCACCTTCTGGAGGTCCTCCACCGACCGTCTGTCGGGTCAATCCGGGGGTTATCCATTCCTGGACGCCCGGACTGTGATTGTTATTTTTCCATGATCTCTTCCGGAGCTCGCCCCTTTTTTTGGGTGAAAGCCCCGGCTTTAACAGCTGAGTAAAAATATTTTTTTGCAGACGCTTGATCCCCTCGGATCTCCATGATCCCCTCTAGTGTGGCAAATTTTAGTTTCTGGTGATAAGTGGAGTGCACCGCTCCCAACGCATGCAGTCATGCTCGTCCCATGATCACATTGTAGGGAGAGTCCGTATCAATCACGACAAACTCGATGTTGATGATGAAGGGACTTGTGACAACTGGCAATGTGATTTTGCTTATAGGCAGGGCGAACGAGCCGTTGAATCCGATGAGGGGTGTCCTGACCTTGGTGAGGTCCTTGAGGCCAAGACCCATCCGTTTTAAAGTGTCAGAGTACATCACTTCCGAAGAACTTCTGGAATCTATCAACACCCTCTTGACGTCGAACTTACCTATCTTCAGGGTTAAGACAAGGGCGTCGTTATGAGGAGTCACCACGCTTGTCAAATTCGCGTCGGAGAACGTAATGCTGGGCTCCCCAGTCCTGGCCCTTTTACTGGGTGGCCCCCCATCATCCTTGGCTATCTTCCTTGTAAAAGCTACCCTCTTGAGATTGGACTCGAGTTCCTTGGACGTGGGGCGATCTAACGGACATACATGTACATCTATGACGTTGTCCAGCTCCTCGGTCGGGACAGGGGTGTGTCTCTCTTCCGGCCTGGGCTCTATGTATTCTTTTAAGTATCCATCTCGGACCAATCTTTTCAAGAACAATTTGTATACCCTGCAGCTTTCGGTGCTATGTCCGAAATCCCAATGATAGGAACACCTAACCTTTTGATCATGGGTGGAGGGATCGCTCTGTATCCTGGGCGGCCACTTGAAGAATGACTCATGCTTTATCTTATGGAGCAACTTGAAGATGGGTTCCTTGAACATAGTGTGAACTCCTTTGAATGACCCCCCCGGAGGGGGTAGTAGTCCCTTTCGGGGAGTATCCTCCCGCTCCCTCTCTTTTATCTTAGATTGGAGAGTTCGGCCTTTGCTGCTTCCCATCTCGTCCTCGATCCTTGAGTACTTGTTTATCCGAGCCATCAGCTCGCCCATATCTGAGGGAGTCTTCTTGGTCAGGGATCGGTACATGTCCGTGTCCCTTGCCAAGCCGAGCTTGAAAGACGCCGTTGTCATGACTTCCGAGCAGCCCTCTACCTCATTAACCTCTTTCCAGTACCGGATGGTATACTGGCGAAGGGTCTCGGATTCCCTACGTCTGAGCATCAGCAATGATCCAATATCTTTAGGCTGCTTACTCCCCGTGATGAATCGAGCCAGGAACTGCCTCGTCAATTCCTTCCACGATCCAATGCTATTGGGGGGAAGCGTCTTAAACCACTTCATCGCAGAGTCCCCCAAGCTCATAGGAAACACTCGGCAGAGGAACTGTTGGTCTGAATGATACAGGGACATTATTTGCTTGTATTGCCTGAGATGGGCTTCGGGATCAGACCGCCCGTTATAAGTGTTGAACCTCGGTACGATGAACTTTCTTGGAACCTCCATCTCTCCGATCTCCTTGGTAAAGGGTGTTTGTATGACCTCGTCTTCGACCTCATCCTGGACAGCTTTACTCTTTCTCCTGAATCCCAACCGGGCTCTGAGATCAATTTTCTCCCCAATGGGATGTCTTCTGAAGTCCTTGAATTCATCAATAGGTCCCCCATTTCCTGGGCGCCGTGTGGATAGGGTTGAATCCTCCTCGGACTCATCTCCCTTCCTCCGTCTCGACAATCCTCGCCGGAGGTCGTCCAGGGCTAAAGGCCTTGTCTTCTTGGAATGGTCGTTAAGAGGGTGCTCGTTGACTCTCGATCACTTTGGGGCCCTGGAGCTTTCTGCCTTGTTGTTTAAATGATTCCTTAGATCCTTCGTTTTCGCCTCCCGGACGGGGAGCCCACGAGAAAGGAATGAGTCCTTCGACCTTTCGTCGGAGGCGGCGAATTCGTTGAGCCGGCTTAGGACGTTCACAATGTCCTTTTCTAACTGTTGTCATCGATCCCCAAACTTTTCTTCGATCACCTCTGCCAATTGACGAGCCAAGGGGGCGGATCCGCCTGACCTGATGCCCATACTGGTTTGAGGGGTAACCCATCTTGACTGAATAGAGATATTTTTATTCCCATCAGTGTGATCCCTCTCTCCATGGTGACATGGAGCTTGTAATTCGAGACTTCTTTGCTGGGGACCTTTCCCTTTTTGTCGAGTATTCACCATGGTCACTATTCTTTATAAAGAAGAAACTAGGAAAACTAGTCGTTTTCCACAGACGGCGCCAGATTGTGCGTGCTGGATCTTGCACAATATAAACACGAGAATAAATCTCTCTCTTGGTGAACTCGAGTGAGTCAGTCGAGTGGTCAACCCTGCTGCTTGAAACAACCTGTGAGGTCCGGTGGTAACCTGAAACGGTAATGGGAGACCCTCGTGGATCAATGGAACGATCCAGTAAGGCTGAGGAAGGTTCCTAGAACAAAGAAAGACAAGTTAGAAGGGCGCCGGAGTGTTTTCCGGCTTATCCCCTCCGACGTTCAAGTCAGTTTTTGAGAGAGAAGAAGAAGAAAATACTGAGTATAATTTGTAACAAAAGTTTTTCGTTGCATACTGTCTTGCCTTTTGCGAGGAGTATTTACACCTCAAAAACTCATGATTGCTGTCAGTGTAGTCAATAGGTGATCATTAGATACAGACAATGTGCGCACTGATTCCAATGAGGAATATCTTCTCTTTTAACTGCTCGGGATCCCGAGCAATCAAGGATGTGTCATCGGCCTGCCGACTATTCAACGAGCTCTTCTCGGCGAGGATGTAATAAATGTCCGGCTTTAGAGACATTTACTACCTATCACTTCCGAGCCTTACCGCATTAAATGCTGTCTCATCCAGGGAATGGTGTAATTAAATGTTTGCTTTCCCAAATCATGTGTCAGCAAGGGCATCCGGTCTTTCTGTCTCTGATGTGACACAATATGCCACGCGTCCATTCCCCATTAGCTGTGTTCCCTGCCCTCCTGTGCCTTTTGACACCAATTGTGTAAAACGAGGTCATGATAGCTAACCTAGTCTAACCTAGGCTAGTGACTTGTACATCAATAGCCTCTGCAGGAGCAGAGAACGCCACCCTGGACGGAGGTACATCTCGGAGCCGAGGGGAGGTACATATAGCGACCGATGTACCCATATCAGACCGAGGGATACGTGTCGGTACGTAAACGTACTGGATGCCACTTGATCCCTACGACAAGTACCTCGGGGGAGAGGGACTTGTGAACCGATGGGTACGTGATCTCAGTAACAAGGATTTAGTGACACCGAGGACACGTGTCTTCATCTTGGAGTATTTCGAAAATGTCCCATCAAATACAAACCATTAGTACAAATAATAAAAAAAATTAGGTGAGTATAAAACACGAATATCTCAATTTTTACGCTAAAGAAATTGTAACCTTTCACGGGCTGTTATTAAAAAACAAGTGAGCGAACGCAAGGTCTCACACCAGTGTGGATAATCTAGCCCACATCCAGTGTTAGCTGTCAAGTCTATTTACAAAAGGTCATGCCCATGATCCAAGGCCTACCAAACTGTTTTCATAACTCGGGTAACCCGCAAGGCCGGAGCGTCGTGGAGTATTCGCTTGCGCCACAAAAAAAAAAAGAAAAAAGAAGAAAAACACAGAAGAAGAAATATTCTAGAAGCATCTGATCAATTTTGTATTATTTCATACAATTACTGATAAACCCACCTCTCTCTCTCTTGAAGCTTCTAGGGTTTTTCTATCCTCTATCTTCTCTTCCATTTCAATCAATAGCACCATCCCCACAAGACCAAAACAGCGACAGTCCTTGGTTCTCTCTCTCTCTCTCTCCACAAATCTTCAGATCAATCTCGGTCCCCCAAGGTAGCTATGTCACCACATCAATTCCCAATCAATTGCTTCCAATATTTTGTATGTGTGTGTGTATGCTATTAGTGTCAGTTTGAGTTATGTTTTGAAAATTTGGTACTCTTCGTTATCTTTTTTGTATAAACTAAACTGATGGATGGGTGTTTTTGTTTATGGGTTAAATTTACTCTTTTTAAGACCAGAAATGGCAACCGTTCAGTTGAATGCATCAGCAATTTCTGCCAAGACTTTGCCTTCTTTCCAAGGGCTAAGGCCTTCAACGGTCAGGGTCTTCTCTGTTGCGCCTTTGAGAAAGAGTGGTGGTCTCACTCAGAGGTCCTTCCGCGGCCTTGTCGTCAAAGCTGCCACTGTTGTCGCTCCTAAGGTAGTATTAGTAATTCCAACTAAAACCATGTATGCTCTGTTACTTGTTATTGTCAAAGCTGCCACTGTTGGCAAACTTTAAGTAATCGACAATTCATAATTTGCTGCTAAACTAGATCGCTAATAAATTTTTTAGCTTGGATTTGATTGCACTGCTGTTTTGTTTGTTGGCTAAAAAATGAGAAACTGATGTGGAATACAGAAGCAATCTGGATGTCGTTTTTTTGTTTCTTCTTATTCTTCCAATTTTATGTGAGATTTGGCTCCTTATATTTACATTTTGTTCTGATATTGTTTATGTTGGGGTCTATTTTTCTGACAATTGCAGGGATGGTATATCTTTTATCGACACCCACTTTTTAAACTTGATTTGCTGGTCTTTATCTTTTTTTATTAGCTCATTACCCCATTTTATGCAACCTATTAGGCTTGAGGACTTCTTCTATTTTCTACTCATATGTAATATTTCATTTTTTGCTACGGTGTTGGTGGCCTTAAGTACAGGCCATTTGTTCAGTGAATCTCGTAGAAGTTTTTGTCCTGGTAATAATAGAGGCTCTTTGACCTATTTCTCTTTCAAGTGTTACATGGAGACTTTCTCAGGTAGAATTAGTTCCTATTTTTGACTCACGCTCTCAGAGTTTATAAGATGGGATTGTTTCATTTATTTGATTCACTTTGCCAATACATTACATCTGAGGAGAATTGTATTTGTCCTATTTTTATCTGATTCATTTACATATTTTGGTCATTTGTTGTGTTGTTCGGATTGCAGTACACTTCACTTAACCCCCTGGGTGACAGAGTGTTGGTCAAGATTAAGACTGCTGAGGAGAAGACTGGAGGTGGTATCTTACTGCCAACAACAGCACAAACAAAGCCTCAAGGAGGTGAGGTGGTTGCTGTTGGAGAGGGTCGGACAATTGGAAAGAACAAGGTGGACATCGGCATAAAGGTAATTGTTTGGGATTAACACATCGCAATCACAATGTCTCTTTCTATGATGAGATTTGCTGACTGAATGCTACTCGTTGTAGACTGGTACTCGGGTGGTGTATTCCAAGTATGCTGGGACCGAGGTAGAGTTCAATGGATCCAATCATCTCATCCTGAAGGAGGATGATATTGTTGGTATTCTTGACACAGATGATGTTAAGGACATGAAGCCCTTGAATGACAGAGTTCTAATCAAGGTTGGTAAGCCCTTCCAGTTTACTTTTGGGTACTCTCATTTCCGTGGTGTTCAGTCCATTGAAAATTTAGAGATGTAAAAGAACATGTTCAAGCTGTAACAGGAAAGTTGGAGATTGGCTTTGTGGTTTTGTTTGGGTAGATGGATGGAAATTTCTCATAAAACATGAGATATTCATATATTTTGAGTAGCATCATTGAAGCACTTCCTATTAGTTTGTTGTGACCTTCTGCAATACTGCGTCAGTGTACATCTTTCCAGAATGCCTAATGGGCCCTAAGTTGGCTGGCCATAAGAAAAGTCTTTTTATTTTAGGAATTTCGTTGAGACTCTTTTTCCTTAGAAAGGGAACATTACCTAAAAGCTATGATACACTTCTTGTATGCACTGCTAAGAACAGGTTGCTGAGGCTGAGGAGAAAACAGCTGGAGGCTTGTTTCTGACCGAGGGAAGCAAGGAGAAACCATCCATTGGCGCAGTAAGGACATCTTCTTTCCTCAAATCAACCCCCCCCCCCCCC